TTTTTGTGAATATGTTGGCAGTGGTACATTAAGGGGCTTGGGAGTCTTCTGAGTCTAGCCTGGTTTTTAGTCCAGAACTCCTTGTGAGTGGCATTTTGGTAGTTACACTGTGGTCTGTTCAGTTCAGAGGTAGGAAGATGAGGGTGGAGATGGTGGCTTTGGGGCATGAGGAGCCACGAGGGAAGGGCAGGGGTCTGCAGGGTGTCCTGGGTTCCAGACAAAGTTCAGGGTGCAGGGGGTGCAATATTGGAGGAGCCAAGGCCTGGCTGGTTTATGTTTCAATGTCATGTCTCAAGCCGAGTTGGTGTACCCAGCACATAATTGGGATTGGGGAGGAAAGAAGAGCAGATGTTACCAAACAGCCTTCTGATGGTGACAGGCTCTGTGTGTGTGTGTGGGGTCAGCATAGTATATTGGTCTCTTGGTATTACTCTGAGCACCAGGACCCTCCCTGTGGAGAGGGTGCCTGATACCTTTCTGAGTGTCCCGGTGTGATGTCTTATCTCTCCCAGCCTGGGAAGGCTTTGCAAGGCCTCCTGTGGGCCTGTGGGTTATAAGAAGTCAACACTCTTCTCTTAGCAGAGGAGAGGGGAGGTCACCAAGCATTGCTCCTAAGGAAATTGCCTGTCTCTAGGCCCTGATTTGCTCTCTGTCTGTGCCAGAAAGTGAATATTCTGCATGCTGGGTTGCCACAGTAGTCAGAATCCCCTTCTCTTCTGGACAGAACCTGCTGTGAGTGGAGGAGAAAGGGAGCCCACTGGGGGGTTTGGAGGAGGGTCTCTCCTGAGTGTCCACCTGGAGAAGATTTTAGTAGAGGGAACAGTAGAGGGGAGGTTTCTCCTGCCAGAGATCATCATCTTTACATTTTATGTTGTTACTGCCAGAAGCTGGAAGGAGGGGCAGGCTGGGACAGAGGGTTTTGAGAGCAAGGATCTGGGCTCTCAGGCCTGTGTTTCTCTGGCCACTGCTTCAGGGCCCTCTGGGTTTTCCCAACAGACAGCCCAGGACAGGCAGGAAGTGAGGCCCCAAGCCCTGTCTGCTCCTTGAGTGGCTGAGGGTAAGCTCCAGCCTCATGGTTCCTGTTCCCCAGGGCCTGCCAAGTCAAGGGACGGTGAGCGCACGGTGTACTGCAATGTGCACAAGCACGAGCCCCTTGTGCTGTTCTGCGAGAGCTGCGACACCCTCACCTGCCGGGACTGCCAGCTCAATGCCCACAAGGACCACCAGTGAGTCCTGAGGTAGGGTGGGTCAGTGGGTGGATGCTGCCTGTTCCTGTGCACAGTGTGCAGGACTACTTCTGTCTGCTCTCAGATACCAGTTTCTGGAGGATGCAGTGAGGAACCAGCGTAAGCTCCTGGCCTCGCTGGTGAAGCGCCTGGGGGACAAGCATGCGACATTGCAGAAGAACACCAAGGAGGTTCGCAGCTCGTAAGTGGAGATGCCAGGGTCATGGGGTTCCCTGGGTGAGCACCTGCCTGACTAGACCTGACTTGACCAACCCTGTCTCCAGGATCCGCCAAGTCTCTGACGTACAGAAGCGTGTGCAGGTGGATGTTAAGATGGCAATTCTGCAGATCATGAAGGAACTGAACAAGCGGGGCCGCGTGCTGGTCAACGATGCCCAGGTACTCCCCATGTACGAGGGAGGGTTCCTGGGCTCTCTGCTGGCTGCTGATGTCATCCTTGGGTGGGGAGGCATTCTAGTGCCCTCTTCTCTGGTCAACCTCGTTGCCCTTTCATCCACAGAAGGTAACTGAAGGGCAGCAGGAGCGCCTGGAGCGACAGCACTGGACCATGACCAAGATCCAGAAGCACCAGGAACACATCTTGCGTTTTGCCTCTTGGGCCCTGGAGAGTGACAACAACACAGCCCTGTTGCTCTCCAAGAAGCTGGTGTGTGCTGTGCTGGTGGCCACCCAGGTGGTGGGTTTCAGGGAGGTGCCTCCCAGCACCCTGGATCCCTGTTCGCTGCATTTATACTCAAGCACTGCCCCATCCCCAGATCTACTTTCAGCTGCACCGGGCCCTCAAGATGATCGTGGACCCTGTGGAGCCACATGGCGAGATGAAGTTCCAGTGGGACCTCAACGCCTGGACCAAAAGTGCGGAGGCCTTTGGTGAGTCTTTATCTTTCCCCGTGCTGTACCTTGTCACCATCCCAGGCACTGTGCCTCTTATGCTAATTTTATTTTCTTCCTATAGGCAAGATCGTGGCAGAGCGTCCTGGCACCAACTCGACAGGCCCTGCGCCCATGGCCCCTCCGCGGCCTCCAGGGCCCTTGAGCAAGCAGGGATCTGGCAGCAGCCAAGTGAGCAGGGGAGGGGGACTCTGGGGAGGAGAGGGGTGTGGGGTCCCATGGGATGCTTGCCTACTGAGGTTCAACTGTTTTGCCCGCAGCCCATGGAGGTGCAGGAAGGCTATGGCTTTGGGTCAGGTGAGTGGGTCTGCTTGGTAGGTGGGAGAGTTCCAGTGCCCTAGGTCTACCTTAACCTGCTGTCTCTCTTTCTGTCTTGAGCAGATGACCCTTATTCGAGTGCAGAGCCACATGTGTCAGGTGTGAAGCGGTGAGTGTGGCTATCGTTGGGTGGAGCAGGGTGGGCATAGGTATGGGTGCTCATGCCAAGCCGCACCAACAGGTCCCGCTCTGGGGAGGGTGAGGTGAGCGGCCTCATGCGCAAGGTACCACGGGTGAGCCTCGAGCGCCTGGACCTGGACCTCACGGCTGACAGCCAACCACCAGTATTCAAGGTGTTCCCAGGCAGCACCACTGAGGATTACAACCTCATTGTTATTGAGCGCGGTGCTGCAGCTGCTGCTGCTGGACAGCCTGGGACTGCGCCCCCTGGGGCCCCTGGAGCCCCACCCCTGCCTGGCATGGCCATTGTCAAGGTGAGCTTGCCCCAAGTGATCTTGGCTGGGAGATGGATGACGTCTGCTGTCCAGGCCTTCACTCTGTTGAACGTCCCTCACCGCCTTGCAGGAGGAAGAGACAGAGGCTGCTATTGGAGCCCCGCCTGCTGCCACTGAGGGCCCAGAGACCAAGCCTGTGCTGATGCCCCTGGCAGAGGGTCCTGGTGCTGAAGGCCCTCGCCTGGCCTCACCCAGTGGCAGTACGAGCTCAGGCCTGGAGGTGGTGGCTCCAGAGGGCACCTCAGCCCCAGCTGGTGGCCCAGGTGCCCTGGATGACAGTGCCACTATCTGCCGTGTCTGCCAGAAGCCAGGCGACCTGGTCATGTGCAACCAATGCGAGTTCTGCTTCCACCTGGATTGCCACCTGCCTGCCCTGCAGGATGTGCCAGGGTGGGAGGCTGTGTGGGGTCTCTGGGGGCTGGAGGGCAGGACCATGTCCTGTGCAGCACCCTCATTCTCTATTGCTTTCAGGGAGGAGTGGAGCTGCTCACTTTGCCATGTACTACCGGACCTGAAGGAGGAGGATGGCAACCTGAGCCTGGATGGTGGTGACAGCGCCGGTGTGGTGGCTAAGCTCTCGCCAGCCAACCAGCAGGTGAGGGCAGGGGCTCACTCCCTTGGGGGTTGCCCAGTAGTTTTACTCTCCTTGCCTCCATGGTTCTCATGTTTCCCGTAATGTTCATAGAAATGTGAGCGTGTCCTGCTGGCCCTGTTCTGCCATGAGCCCTGCCGGCCCCTGCACCAGCTGGCTACTGATTCCACCTTCTCCCTGGTGAGTCCTGGGACTTGGGAGGAGAGGAGGGGCAGGGGCTGCCTGGTCTCAACTTCAGCCTATGTGGCCTCTGCCTACAGGATCAGCCCGGTGGCACCCTGGACCTGACCCTGATCCGCGCCCGCCTCCAGGAGAAGTTGTCACCGCCCTACAGCTCCCCCCAGGAGTTTGCCCAGGATGTGGGCCGCATGTTCAAGCAGTTCAACAAGTTGACAGAGGTGAGCCTGTGGAGAATGGGGCTGTGGGCAGGGGGAAGGGAGATGGAGGGTAGGAGAGCTAGGACCCACCTACTGCAATCTGCTTGCCCAGGACAAGGCAGACGTGCAGTCCATCATCGGCCTGCAGCGCTTTTTTGAGACTCGCATGAATGAGGCCTTCGGTGACACCAAGTTTTCTGCTGTGCTGGTGGAGCCCCCGCCGCTGAGCCTGCCTGGTGCCAGCCTGAGTGCCCAGGAGTTGTCCAGTGGCCCTGGTGACGGCCCCTGAGGCATGGGCCCCTTGGGCCAGCCCAACATGGCTCTATTCTCAGTCCTGTCACTTCCCCCCCACCATCCTCTCTCTCCAGTGGCCTGGCTCCCACTCCTTGGTGGCCCCATACCCTAGCCCCTCACTATATGGTTTTTACTTCTGTGGATTTAATAAAAACTTCACCAGTTCCTCAGGCCTTGGTTGGTGGGGACAGGGGTCCTGGGGCCCGGTCTTCACTTGCATCAATCTCTCACCAAGCCCTGATGGGCTGAGTAGGGGTGGAGGCACTTGTCTCCACCTGAGCATCCCTCCTGGGCCCTTCCCAGTGTGGGGGGTGCCTCAGATGGGTGGGAGGGTCACAAGGAGCACTGAGGCTGTTGGGGGTGCTCTGTAGCTGAGCAGGCAGGGTGAAGCCCCAGGTATGTGCTACATGGTGTCCACATTTCTGATTGCTTTCTGTAGTTCAGTGTAACCATTTCTCATGACCAGGTGAGCTAAGACTCCCAATGGGCCAAGCTGAACTGGGTACTGTATTCCTGGCAGACAGACCTGCACTCCCAGGGAATCAGGAGCCACCTTGGGGATGATGGTGTTGAGGCCAAGGCATGGGAGGCCCCAAAGGGGTGTTGGAGCAGGGCCTATCGCTGACCTTCAGTGTGCTTGGCCTGTCCACCCCTGTCCCAAACTGGGAAACCATCCACCCCCCCTCTATCCCATACCCCAGTTGATCTGGCACTTGTCCCTGTGCCACCCATGCTAAGTGCCCCCTACTAAGCCCTGCCTGAGTGACTCCTGCCCCAAGAGACCCTAGCTCGGCCCACATCAGGCCAGTCACACAAGCCCAGGAACTAGTGTCCAATCTCTTTTATTACAGGAAGGGAACAGTGAAAATGCTGGGCATCCACTGGCCCCCTGGGGTGGCATGGAGTGGTCAGTCCCTCCGCAGGTTCTTGAGCCGCTCCTCCAGGTCTGCATCAGCATCGACTAGGGCTGATGCTGCGGCCTCTGCTTTCTTCCCATTGGCAGCCACACTGAGTGAGCCTCCAGTGGAAGGGAGGTCTGCAGAGAGAAGGGGTTAGGAGGAGAGCCCCTGTGGGAAGAAGTGATGCTGGGAGAGGGAGGGTCTGGGGCTGTGGCTGGGCTGTGAGTGGGAGAGGGCCCAAGGCTTGGAGCACTCACTTGACAGCTCATCTGTCAGGCTCAGTCCCAGCTCATCCAGGACCTGGGACACAACAGCATCACTAGGGAAGAAAGAAGAGGAACTCTGAGGGCAAGGGACGTGGGAGGGCCTGGTATCCATACCCACACTCCCACCTGGTGTCCCCGAACCTCTCCTCTTCGTCTTCCTCATCACCCATAGCATCATCAATGGCGTCGTTCATCATCTCCTCCTTCATGTCCATGATCTCTGCCTGCCGCTCAAACTCCATCATGATCTTCTGGATCTGGGGCAACTTGAGCTGGAAGTGGGGGGAGAGTGAGTCTAGTCCCTGAATTTGAGGGGGGGGGGTAGGGAGGGGGATCGGGAGAGACGCACCTGTCTGTTCATGGTGCCCATGGCCTTGGTGACGCCCTTCATGGCTTGCGCCATTGAGTTGTTAGACTTGAGTGTCTGGATCTTGAGGGACACAGCCTGGATGTTGGCCCGCATCAACACAAACTTGCGCACATAGCGCCGCGTGCGTACCAGGTCTTTTGCCATGATGCGCACGGCGTCCTGAACGGACAAAGGTGGCAGAGACCGGGCCATGGGAATATGCTCACTCCCATTCCACCATTCCCACTGAGGCTTTAGGACCTCCGTGTGCCTAAACTTAGTGGTCACTGTTCCCTCTCTCTTGCCAACCTCACTTTCAAGCCTCTTGTGGAGTGGTCACCAGTCCACAAACTCCTCTGTAAGGTTCTCCTCACCTCTTGGACCCATAAATGATTGAAGGAAGGGCTCACTTTTTAGGGGTCCTTTTCCCTCCATGTCTGGAGTCACTCCCTTGACTTAGAACATCCATTCCTGAATTTCTATCCTGGCCGAAGACTCTGCCTCTCCCTTCACTTCACACAGGCCCTCAATCTCTTGATCTCAAATCACACATAAACCTGTCCAAAACTCAGCTTTTGATTTCCTCCCCAAACCTCTTACTTGCCTTGCCCATCCCAGGAAATGGGACCTCCTCAGCCCAGCTGCTAGGGCCAAGGCTCTGTCACCCATGGTAGGCTCTGCTCCCTACTGGTTCAGGCTGTCTCCGTCTCTTCTCTCACTGGCCTCTAGGTCCCACTGTATTCTATGTGAAGTCTCTTGCAGTAAACTCTTCGACTTAGTTCCCACTGTGGTCCACGATTCCAAGTGCTCTGGCTTCCATCCACTCTGCTGAACTCACCTGTCACTCCCTCATCTAACACATTTTCTCCTCCATCTGCTTGACACACTTGCTGCTTGGATCTTCCCAGGCTCACTCTCCATTACTCAAGGTTTGGCTCTGACAGCACCTCCCTGGAGACAGCCTTTTTCAACCCCCCAACTAGGGAAGCCCTGCTCACCCATCACTCCATTTTCCTCGAAGCATCTATCTGTTGCTGTCCTGTCTGTCCTGCTTGCTGCAGCCACAGCACCTAGCCCTGTGTCCCAGCCTATGCCCAACCGAGCTCACCATCTGGCCCTGCTTGGCCATTTTCTTGATATCTGCAATGATTTTCTTCTCCTGAGTCTCTAGCTTCTGTCGCTCACGGTCCAGCTCTCGCATGGCACGGTTCAGGGCCCGCTGGTTCTGCCGCAGCAGCTCTTCCGGCGTCTTCCGGCGCCCAAACAACAGGTCCATGGAGGCAGGAGCCCGCTAGTGGGCCTGGGACAAATGCAAAGCCTAGATGTGGGGCAGCGGGGGACCCAGAAAGCGGGGAAGAGGCAGAGCCAGGATCACTGTGAAGGGGAGGAGGGACAGGCAGGGGGCCTGCAAAGTGGGAAGGGGCAAGCAGGGAGAGGAGGCATGAATGGAAAGCAAAAGAGCGCAGCCTAGAACATCAGGGTAGCCCCAGGGACACAACTGAAGACTTTACAATGTACCCACCCCAGCCTGTCCTCCCTCACAGTGTCCCCACGGAGGTTCAAGGCTTCAGCCTCCCTCTCCAGACTTGGGGGGTGAGGCCCTGTAGTCTCTGATGGGCTGAGACTAGAGGTGGACATATGTGGGAGCACTGGGGCATTTGGGACCCTGAGCGCCAAGGACAGGGCAGCTGTAGGGGTACCTGACGAGAGAGTTCAGGATGAGTGGAGGCCCTGAGTGCCAAGAACAGGGCCAGTGCGGCTCTGAAGCTAACAGCGTATGGATGGCATTCGGATTGGGGGGCCCTGAATGCTGAGGGAACCTGGGCGTGAAGAATACAGTCGGGGGGTGTTGGGGCACCCTGTACACCGAGGACGGGATGATAGGCGTTGGAGCGCCTTCTCCACTCAGGACAGAGTCTGGGGGCGTTGGGGCTCCTGTGCACCGAGGGCAAAGCGGCGTAGGGGGCCCTGATGACGAGGCCAGGGTCCCAGAGAAGGACGAGGCACTGGACGCCTCAGCGAAAAAGCCCTCGTTCGCCGCCGCCCACGCTCCCACCAGGGACCCGCAGTCCGGCAAGGGCCACTCACCGGAGCTGGGATAAGGGCCTGCTTCCGCTTCCGGGTCACACTACTGTCGCTCGGCTCGCGGGCCGCCCACCAACCACAGCCCCTCCGTTCTGTCGCCTCGACCGTCGCCGCCGTTTCCGGATTAAACGACCTGACGTCACACGCCCCACCGGCACCGGGAATGCTGGGAGGCGACAAGACCGCGCGTGCGCACAAGCCCTGGCACGGGCAGACGCCCAAGCGCATGCGCACTAGCTTCCGTTTCTCGGCAGCAGCCCTAGGGTGTTCCATAGGTTCGAGTCCCGCCCGAGGGAGCCGAGCCACGCCCAGAGTCCGGGGCCACGCGGGGATGGTGCAACTTCGGGTGCCTTCCGCTCAGCCACCCCTGAGGTCCCGCATCCCACCACGTCACCCACTAGAGGGCCCTGCTACCCCCAGGGACCTTGACTTCCCCCTAATGTTTCTGGACTTCAGGCACCTGGTAGCACCAAGCAGGGTTCTCCTCCGCGGGCACACCCATGGCAGAAGGAGCAGAGCTAGAAATGGAACCGACTTTCCTCTATGCTGGCATACCGGCCTGTAAGCCAGTGATTACTGGATCCTGCCCCTCCCTCATCCCAGAGTGGGATTCATCCCACTCAACCCAAGGCTTGGAGCCGGGTCCCCCACTACCCCCAGAGCTGCCCCAGCCACTGGGCAGCCTGCTGATGGGTACCCCAATGCCACCTGTGACCACACACCGCCCACCACTCTTGCCACCGGAGCCCTGGTGGACATCACCTGCCCCTCCCACCCCACAGAAAGAAGAGGCAGAGGCTATGCAGTAACATTCCCCTTTAATAGCCTGGTGGGACTTCCAGTGGTGGTGGTGGTGGTGGTGGTGCCAGGGCCCCAACCATCCAGTCCCCTTGGCCACCCACCCCAGTGCCCAGAGTGGGGAGCTGGACAGCACCCAGCAGGGGGCTAGACAAGCCAATTCATTTCCCATTGCTGAGTGGGTCGGGGGAGGCAGTGCCGACCTTAATCACATGGTGGTTAAAAAAAAAATAACTAGGAGCGGGTGGCAGGGAGGGGAGGCAAGGCCAGAGCATGGGATTCCCCCACCGGCTGCCCCATGCCCCCCACCTGTGGCCCCCAATAAATATTTGCAGGGGACGCCGGGGCTGGTGGCCCTGGCAGGGGCGGGTGCGCGTGCCAACCCTATTTCAGGCAGCGCTCGAAGTAGGTAGAGCCGATATAGCCACCCCGCATGGAGCGCTGCACGTTCTGCTCAAACAGCCGCCGGTTGTTCTGCAGGACCTCGGCGGCCTCCTTGTTCAATGGGTCTTCAGGGTTGGGCTCCTGTGGCCAGTATGGGTGGGGGTCAACAGGCCCAAGGGGCAGAGGGCCAACCTCCCCCAGCCCACCCACCCACCCCTACTCACCAAGAAGAGATACTGCAGGCCATAAATTATGGAGTTTATCGTAAGGACTGGCTTCCAGTCCTCTCTGTGGGCAGAGAGCATAAGCGTCAGGGGATTGGTGAGTGGGAGACTGTCACAGGCCCTGCAGGGACTGGACAGGTCAGGCCCAGTGCATGGGACAGTGCGGATATGAGAGGCTAGGTGGAGGACACAGAGCAAGACAGGTCAGGGAGAAAGCCAAGGTCAAGCCACGAAGAAAATAACAGGGAGATGAAGAGACAGAGGGACGCAGACCACAAGGGAGAGGGAAGGGACAGAGACTGTTGCAGTTTAAGGCCTTGAGAAGGGCCTGGCAGGCAGGGCTGGGGGCAGCAGTGGAGGGCCAGTGCCCTCACCTGAGGATGTTGAGGCAGACGTTGCCCTCGAGGTCAATGTTGGGGTGATAGACCATCGTCTCACACTTCACCTTGGGGGGGTCATGCGGGTAACCCTGGCCCACCTGGCTCCAGGAAAAGAGAGGGGAGGTGGATAGGTACCCTGGCAATTGCATTCTCAGCCCAGGGAGCCACCCCTGCCCACCTGGGACTCACCTTAAAACTGAACACAAACTTCCCACTCTTGTAGAATCCCTGTTGGGGGAGAGGAAAGGAAGGTGGTAGGGCCACATCCTGCAGGGCCTGGCAGGTGAACCAGGTCTCCCTACTCAAGGTGGGGCCTTTCCTAGGTCTGTGCCTGGGAGTTCAGCTGAGTGTGTCCTTACCTCATCAGGACAGATAACCAGCTTGAAGTTGAGGAGGTCGTCTGGATCTGAGAAGCTGATGTCACACGTTTTGGGCAGGTTCAGCTCGTTTATGTCTGGGTTTGCACAGCAGAGAAGGGGAACAAAGAGAAGAAAAGGGAGAGTGAGAGAAAGAAGGGTGCTCAAAGTAGGTGTGGGTTTTCAGCAGAGCCCCCATGGCCTCCTCCAGGACTCCCAGGACTGTCCTGGGCTGTGCCCCACATCCCCAACCCTCTCCCTGCTCTTTCCACTCCCCAGTCTCCAGGCAAGCTCTTCTGGATCTACAACACACCCCAAACATGCATCTTCAATTGTGGCTGTACCCTAGCTCCCGGCCCAGGATAATCAACAACTCTTCTGAATGCACCCAAATCCCAGCACCCAACAGCCGGGTCACCTCAACCCAGCTCCCAAATGCCCCCACTCCTACGTAGCCCCCAAGAGCCTCTGACTACCGCAAACCCCAAGATCCCTAGCCATAACCTCCACTTTATAGTAGACACTGCTGGTCCCCACCTGTCAACCCAAACTCAAGGACCCTGCTCCCCCATACCCTAAATCATCCCCTCACCAATCCCGGACCCCCACTGGCCCTCCTCTCCTCTCTCTGCCTGTCATCCCAAATCCAGGTTCCCATTTGAACCCTAGACCTGTGAGTCCACAGTCCCCGTATGCTATACTACTCTGTCTGACTCAGATTCCCAACATCTTCAGCAGGATAGTCTAAATCTAACATCACTATTTCCAATCCCCGGTACCCACTATCCCTCCCTCCTCCACCTGTCACTCCAAACCCCAAACTGCCATGTGACCTCAGACCAACGATTCCCAGGCCCCAGAACCTACTCCACCCCATCTGACTCCCCCCAGTGACCCCAACATAATACACTAAATCCTCCCCGCCTCCTAGTCCCAATCCCTGGCCCCCATTATTATCATCTCTGCCTGTCACCCAGTTCCTATCTGACTCCCAGACTCTCGAGAGTCCCCAGCCCCCCACTCCCGCCCTCCACCACCTGACCCTCAAATTCCCCGTCCCCAATACCAGATGCCTAGTTTTCCGAATATCCTAAATGCCCCATTCTCGGCCCCCGATCTCTGAGCCCCCGGTAACTGCATTACCCCACCCCAGATCCCCCATCACCCCAACCCCCAGTCCCTGACCGCCGACCCCCCACATCCGCGGCCCCCCGTCTCTGACATCTCTGACCCCAGCCGACCGCATTACCCTACTCCTGACTCCTACATCACCCCACCCCAGGCCTTGACCATTAGCCCCTACCCCCATCCCCCGACCTCTTACCCTTCTGGATCCGCAGCTGCGCCGCCGACGCCTTCTTGCTGCTGCCCTTGGTGCCGCCCGCCGACTCCTCCTCCTTCTTCTGCTGCTTCAGCGAGAACAGCTTGATCATCCTGCCGCCGCCGCCGCCGCCGCCGCTGCGGGGCCCGGGACCCCGGCC